GCAAAAACAGGGGATGTCTGTGTGGGCTATCCACTGTAGGGTGTATTAGTGAAATCCAGGAATTCTCCAGAAAACTGATTTCTGTAAGTTAGGGAGATGTACCAAATAGAAATAATTTTACGTTCTTTAACACCTAGAGCTGATTGCTGATATATACAGGATATTGGACAGTACAGACCTTAGATCTAACAAAGGATATCCAATGTAGCAGCTTTCCAGTACCTAAAGGGGGCCTACAAGAATGCTGGAGAGGGACTGTTTACAAGGGGTCTGTAGGGACAGGACAAGAGGGGATGTCTTTAAACTGACAGAGGGGAGATTGAGATGAGATCTTAGGAAGAAGTCCTTGATATGAGGTTGGTGAGGTGCTGGCACAGGGTGCCCAGAGAAGCTGTGCCTGCCCCATCCCTGGCAGTGTTCAAGGCCACAGGGGCTTGGAGCAACCTGCTCTAGTGGAAGATGTCCCTGCCTGTGACAGGGGGTTGGAACTGCATGAGCTTTAAGGTCCCTTCCAACACAAAACAGCCTGGGATTCTATATTTTTGCTGTTAATTCAGAGACATTTATAACACCTGGGTTTGGAGGAGAAAAAAGAAAACCATCCAGTTCAGAGTAAATGGTCTAAGCTACTTTTTCCCCTCTGGTGTATCTGACTGCCACATCAGGACATATTTTGCTACCAAAGTATTAGGCAACTTATGATGTATACAGCTTGCTTACTGTAAGTTCTTCTTGTGCTGTATTTGTTTGTTAAGCAAGGCAGCTGTTACTGTGCTTCTCTTTTCTCAAAGCAATCTGAATGCAAGTGATTGCTTGTGAGACTTCCTAAATTCAGTGCTGCCATGGACTATTCACAGTTAACCTTTTGCCTGTCTATTTTCAGGATTGCCAGAAGCTGAGTGAAGATGTCCAAAATGCCATTCTTGCGGTTGCCACAGTGTACTGCTGGCTCCCCAAGGGCCAAGGTGAGATAGTCACAGCAGGGCAGGCACCACTGTATAGGGCGCTGGTTCTTTCACCACTGTATAAAGAAACCCAGTATTGCAGTGCCTAACGTAACATCTAGCATCTGCAGGAAAGCAAGTTATCATGAGCAAGTAGTCCCCTTATCAGCTGTTCTGTAGACTTGCAACATGTTTGAGTGAACCATTTGTCTGTCTATTCCCTTAGATTTCCATCTGTGAAAGAGTGATAATGTTGGAAGTTGTGTAGTTGATTGAATGTTCATATTTATGAAGTGTTGAGATTCTTGTACAAGTGATTTATAACTTCATTTATACAGTGTATCCACACAGACAGAGCAGTCTGTGTGTCCATCTTATCAGTTGCTTTCTGTTGATGCTGACTTTGTGGTAGCTTTCTTGCTCTTTCTCAATCTTCACCAGGCACTACTCTTCGGAAGATGGTACGAGATGCTACCATTGAAGTAGTGGAAGGAATGATCCAACTCACAGAAGCAATTCTCAGTGCTCCATTGGAGAGGTAGTAATTTTCAAAGGAAAAAAAAGGAGAGAAAGTTGCAAGCATACTTATTAGGAAGCTGCAAGTGCAGGCTGCTTCCTAAGGGAAGGGGGAAGGCAGAAGCAGAGCATTGTTATGAAGCAGGAAGAGGTAGTTGCCTCATCAGTAAAGGCCCTGTACCCCAGTGCCTTAGTAAGCAGAGCAGAGCAGTGCTGGTGAGGTTCAGCTGGGAGTCCAGATGATAAGACAAGCCCGTAACAATGAGGTCAAGCTGGAAAGTCAGGCCAGCAAGCCAGGATCAGGGTCAGCTTCAGAGAGAGTAAACAGCATCATACACCATCTAGTGATTGCCCAGCACATCCATTACAATGAGTTGGGTCTGAGGCCAAGGCAAGAAGGTCAAATCAGTGGGTCAGAATCAAAGGGAAGTCGCATACCCCGTTGATACGAGTATGAAGCTTCTATCTTGTATATAGCCAACTTAACTCCTGGGAGGGTGGAATGCACTTCAAGGCCCTCACAGTACCCTCTTGTCACAGTGACCTGAGTCAGGTGCATTTGTTGTCATGGAGAATAGATTTTCATCGTGTCTGAGACAAGAAAACCTGCTGAGAGCAGGTTTTTGCCCTTGGAGTGAACTGTCATACGCAGTGATTGTGCCACTTTATAAAGCTTGTCACTGGACCGATACAGACTGCTTCCTCTCTTTATGGATTACATGCCACTGCCCTTAGGCAGAGGTCAGCAGTGTCCTGTTACAGACTTCTGGTTTGCGTAGATACTGGAAGATACATGCCTAAGCACCTTGAGAGGCCTTTGTAAGAGGCTCCTGCTTCTTGTTCCAGTGGGTAATTAAACTCAGTAGAACCAAGCACTTTTTGCTTTACACAGACATGACACACTAGTGACAAGCTGGCTGGTGACATCTATCCAGCAGAGTTTCTACTAGCGTGCATCATCTTTGGTGCAGAAAGTAAACAGTCTGACAGAATGGTGTTACTGAGTTTAACTTTGAGGGGCTTTGTTTTGTTTCAGCTTGTCTCAGGAGCAGCTTGTATCAACTGGTGGTGTGTGGGAGGCATGTGAACAAGTGTCCAGCCTTCCACGAGGTGAGTATTTTATATGCAGAATAACAACAGAACTAGGACATGTTCTCTTGGAATATCAATAGCCCTTGCAAGGGACATTCTAGCTACTACAGTGAAGGCTCACTCATTCTGCAAAACCTGGCTGGGTTTGAAATGCATAAGCTTAGAAGCCAGGCCAGATTCTTTGCATGGCAACAGTGCAGCTCTGAGCTCTGCAAAGAGTTTGATCCCATAATCTCAAGATCCAATGATTGCAAACCTAGATGAATGTTGTTGCAAGCTGATTTGAATGATGTAGTGCCACACTTTTCATTCTTTTACATTTGCAGATAACCAGGCAGCAGTTGCGTCAATTCTGGCTGCATGTCTAGGTGTGGTCAAGGATGCTCTGGAGGAGATGGAACATGTAAGGAAGCCCCTAAGCTTTTGACGAACCTGCAGTGGTGAATTGCAGTGATGGTTTAGTGATGTAATACAGGGATTGTTTTATGTACAGGATTTGATTTAAATTTTTATGTAAGGTTTCCATAAAGTTATGTCCTGAATTGCAGGGGGATGTTGGGGCAGCAGGGCAGGTTGATGTAACAATGATATTACTTGCCAGATTCTTGCTGTTTGCTGTGTTGAATTGGGTTGTGGGATTAGTTTTTATTAATCCTGTACTGCTAGGATTAACAGAATCTGGTAACTGAGGTGCTGGTTTGAAAGAAATTCCTCCATAAATTATTTGTGTGATTTCTAGAATATGTTTTCCTCTTGGGTATTGCTGGAATTGCTTGTTAGGCTCTGGGTTTTCAGTGCATTTGTGTTCTTAGGCAGTGGTGGAAGGGCAAGACCCCTACAGTGACATCATGGAAGATGAAGAGCTGGGCTTTCGGGGCAACAGAGATACGTATTGGTCAGAAGCTGACCGGAAGCTGCTTAGCTCCTGCATGGGATTAATGAAGGCTTCTAAAGCTTGCCTGAAGAAGGTTTTGGGTGTAGTGAAGGCTTATGGCAAAGCTGATTCTCCAGAGCAGATCGCTCAGCTGGATGATCTTGCAGACATTGCTAATGAGATCAGTCCAAGGTAAGCAGGTCTCTCCCTTTTGCCACTTTTTGATCCAGAGCAATCCCTGTCCTTGAGGTGTAGAGAACAGGTTAGGAAAACCTTGTATGGTACTGAAACTGTGAACTGGTGGTGGAATCAGGTGTGGTGGGAAGACTATTAAGGTATAGGCTGTTCAGAGTTGTGCAAGGTAGGAGAGGAACGTAAAATCAAGTAGGTTGGAAAAGACCTTTAAAATCATTAAGTCCAACCATTCCCCCAGGACTGCCAAGGCCACCACTAAACCATGTCAATAAGGGCCTGATGTATATGGTTTTTGAATGCTTCCAGGGATGGCAATTCCACCACTGGCCTGGCCAGCCTGTTCCAGTGCCTGGCCACTCTTTTGGTGAAGAAATTTCTCCTAATACCAGTTCAGAAATCCCCTGGCACACCTTGAGACTGTTTCCTCTTGTCCTGTCACTTGTTAGCTGGGAGGAGAAACCAGCCACCTCTTCTCCTTTCAGGTAGTTGTAGAGAGTGATAAGGACCGCCCTGGTCCTTCCATTCTCCACACTAAATCCCCCCAGTTCCCTCAGCAGTTCCTCATCACACTCATCCTCCAGTTCTTCACCAGCTCTACTACCCTTCTCTGGACCTGCTCCAGTGTTTCTCTTTTATTGAGGGGCCCAGAACTGAACACAGGATTCGAGGTGTGGCCTCACCAGTGCCCAGTACAGGAGGGTTATTTCTCCTGGTCCTGCTGGCTATGCTATTTCTGATACAGGCCAGGATGCTGTTGGAATTCTTGGCTGCCTGGGCAGAAGCTGGCTCATGTTTAGCTCTGTCAATTAGCACCCCAAATCCTTTTCCATAGGTAGCTTCTCAGCCAGTCTTCCCCAAGCCTGTTAGCAGCACTTTGGTGTGGAGTTGTGGCCATGTCTCACTCTGTCTCACTTTTGAGGGGAGAGTGGCATGCACTTGTCTGAGAAGGCAGTGAAAAGCATCCCATGGGTATGATTGTGTCCTTGTCATGCAGCACTGTTCCTGATACACATTCAGGATGGGTGTAGGCTTTGACCAGGATCCATGAGTTGTGCTGTCAGGACCTTTCATCCATTGCTCCCCTCTTCTGTTCTAGTGTTGATGAGCTGGCACTGAGCATGTATCCACCTATGAACCAGCTGGCTGTGCGGCTTAATGTAAGTATTTGTAGCCTGCATGCAGCTCTACTCACTTGGCTGTGGAGAAGGGGAAGAAACTGATTTGGAGACGTGACTGACTGTCAGGGAGAGGGTGTTAGCGACTGTCTCAGTAACAAGTTCTTAGGGACAAAGAGTCCCCCATTGATTCCTGCAGACTCTAGCTTCCTTCAGGTGGAAATGCATTCCTCATCTTCACTTCCTCAGGGAAGAGCATGGCCCCTTAAGCTTTGGCTCTGAACTATAAACCATAGAGACATACAATGACAGTGCCTCAGGAAAGTGAGGTCTAAGGCTGCCAGTGTACTGCATGTCTGCTTTCTTCCTTGGGTAATGTAGACTTGCTCAGAGAAAGCTATGTAAATTAAAAATACAAATTAAAAATTCTCACAGTGAGCATGGTTAAACACTGAAAGAAACTGCTCAGAGCAGCAGTGGAATGTCCGTCTTTGGCAATAGTCAAAACTTGACTGGGCAAGGCCCTGAGCGGCCTGACTGAACTTTGAGGTAAGCCTTGTTTTGAACAGGAGGCTGTATTAGATGACTTCCAGGTCTCCCTTATATCATAGATTAAGAATGTATCATCTCATATCTGAGATTTTTTTATTCTGAATTTTGATTTCATGCCTTTGGTCAGTGGCTTGACTTTTTGGGGTAAAAAAGAAAGTATTGCTTAATACTAAATTGCATGGCAGTCAGTCACTTGTAAGTTTATACCTTAGTATCAGTTACTAATTTCTAATAGGCTTATCTTTTAAAGGAAAAAAGCATTTCAACGTATGCTTTAAAAACAGTCTGTCTTTGTTTCTGGCTGTCCCAGCCACCAGTAGGTTGGGAGACACTCTCAGCATGGCAGTGGTAGGTAACTTTCTTCTATATCAGATCTGTGGCAGTTTTACTCATTCTTGGCTGTGTTGGACGTTCATGCACCCTACTTTCTTTTCCAGTGCTGCTGAGCAACATTTTTTCCATGTTTGGCTGATGTTACTTCTCTTTTGTTTCTTTCTAGGCTGCTAAGTTGGCCTCGGTATTAAAGAAAGTCTTAGAGATTACAAGGTGAGTATGAGTTAGTTTTATATGTGTGTGTCCCCTGCTATGGTGGTTGATATCTTTCTGCTTCCTGTCAAAGGTGACTCATTTCTAGGCAGCAAATGATGGCATTTTGGAATAATTATGATGTTAGTCAGTCACAAAGGGATGAAAATAAGAACAGGATGGTAGGGATAAAAGTGGTTCCCACTGAAGACACACACATAGGAGTTAACCTTTGTCACTAGAGACACAGATGTGGGTTCTTCCTTGCCCAAAGCACTTGGGCTATAACAGTCCTGTTTTAATGCTGTGATAATTCAGCACTTCACAATACCCATGTGTTGTCTGGATGCATAGGTGTAAGACACCCAGGAGGCTTTCCTAATGAATTTCCTCCACTTTTGCAGGACAAGCCATGTATGTCCACCATCAGAGGAAGGCTGGGTGCAGTTTCTAACTGGTGCAGTAGATCACAACATGAACAAAATCAAGAACTTCACACAGGGTCAACTTTAGTTCTTCCATGTATACATGTGTTGCTGCCACTGTTTCTGGCATGTGCTTTTCAAGTGAATCTTGGTATTCTCCAGCTGTTGGGAGAATGATGAGAACAGTGTTTTTAGGAGGGAACTTTACTGCCACTTGGTAAAACTTTCCCAGGGAGTTGCTCTTTGCTATTGCAGAAGGCGTCATTTTGCTTGGATTCCTGGGATCCTGGAATGGTGCAGTGCTGCATCTTAATGCTGTGAATGTGCACCATTCTTCAGACATTGCAACTACTATGGGGTTCAAAGAACAATAAAATATTGCTAGGTGTGCATGAGTGGCTTTATCTGTTTTCAGGTGGCAGAGGGTCTTGCTGCTTTTGCAGGAAGCTCAATGCATCATTAAAAACATGTAGCACTGCTGCTGTTTCCTGTCTAACCTTAGAGAAGAGTGAACTGTGTTTCTCTTTACTGTTTCCTCAGAAAGCAGTGGAAAATACTATTTACTACTTTGCCAGCATCAAGGATCTGTAGGGGAATAATAGTATATCTGTAGAGAAATGTTACATCTGTCATCACTTTCAAGTTCTAGGATATTCCTTTTTGCCATGGGTAGGGAAAAATGGCTAAGCAGTGGTGGGTTCAGCACATATGCATGGTGAGAAATGCAGCATTTGCTTGAGCATTTACCCCATCTTTGCCACAGTAAGGTTGAACTTAAAAACTGGAAAGTGGGCATAGTGGCAGAGGGAAGAGAGTTGAGTTTGTACAAATAATCAAAGTCAGTCATGGGTTTAAATATCTTTAATTCAGCTGTTAACATTTATGCTTGCCTGAGACCAGGGCACGGATCATGACCGGTCTTTTGTAAACAGGACAGCAGGACCTGTTCTAAGTTGGGCGTTAGGCAATTGCAATGTCGATAGTTCTGTAGCTCTTCAGGTTCTGGAGTTGAAGGCAAGTAAGATGTGCAGTGAGTCTTCTGGGCCCAGCTTGTGTGGGGGTGAATGGGATTTGCAGCTGTCGAGTGCTTTTAGGTTGCACAGAGCCCAGCCTGAAAGGTGAGAAGGGATTATACAGGAAGTGCACCTCTTTGTCTTTGTAGTTCCCGGCGCAGGAGGTGCATTTGCTCAACAGAAGTGTGGGGCCAAAAAAGGAAAGGGTGGGGGGAGGGGAATGGCAGCAGGTAGTAGTTACCTGAACTACCCCAATGGAACTGTGATGTGGTGGTGGTTTGGGGAGGGATATATATCAGGAGGCTGAACTCTCCATGGAGTCGTCTAAGGTTACTTTGCCCTAATGCAGCTTCGTGAAAGCAGTGTGTGTGTGGGCAGGGTTAATGCCTTTCTGGGTGACTCAGCTAAGCCAGGTTTGTCTGGCTCTTCAGAGAACGGGAAGACACTGTTAAAATTGTACGCAGGGACTGTCTTTTTTGCTCACAGTGGGTAGTAAGTGGAAAGATATGTCACAAATAGTATAGTTTCACCCCATTCACATATGTTCACATGGCTATCTAAAAAGCAGTTGGTTTCTCAGCAGCAAATAATTTCTAAATTTTGTAGCTCATTTCAGTGACCTGTAACTGTTGTCTTATTTAATGTGTATTTCTCCCTAAGTCTTGTGATACTTGTCTTGTTACTCTTCTCGTTGACAGGGAGCTTTCCTTCTGCTATCTAGGCCTTTGGGGTTGAAGCTTTCACAAATATAGTACTGACTTCAACTTATGTGTTACACATCTGTTGAAAGTTCTGTTACCTGGATTTTCTCCTTCTCGGTGTGAAAACCTTCTGTATTATCTGTAAATAAAGGATTGGAAGCCTGGGGCTTTCATGCTGCTGTAGTCTTTTCCTGCTGTGTTGTTGCTCGCTTAGTTTTGGGGACAGCCTTTCCTGCAGAAGGGTTTCTCTAGCTGTTCTGAGATCATTCAGTTTGCACTTACTTGTACTTCCTTTGTCTGTAGATGAGCCCTCGCCCTGCAACCGCTATCACACACTTCTCCAAGGGTTCGGTGAGAGGGTTCAGGAGGCTGATCTTTGCTGTGCTTGGCTGATATTGTACCATGTTTTCTGGAAACTGTTGAAATAAGGAAATGAGCTGAAACTGAGAGAAGGAAAGAGATTCTTCTGTGATTAAAGGCAGATATTTTTGGTTTTTTTGGTGCGAGAGGTTTCAGTCTGAGCTGGCAATTGTCAGAAGAGGCAAAGTCCGGCTTATTTTCTTCTCAAATGTGGTATTCTGGTGTAGTTTCCTTCTGCAGCCTGTGATTTCCAGACTGGTGAGTGAGTTGGGAGTCATTGGGATTTCCTTATGTTCACACATAGACAAGGTAGAAGTGGAGTACTGTATACAACAGTGTGGCACAACTCACCTTTCCCAAACTGATGTCTCACTGCTTTGGAAAAAGACAGCCTGAGGAGAGCTACTCAACCCAGCAGATTTTTTTTGCTGTTTATGACTATGGAAGCTGCAGTAACAGAACGATAGGCCGATCTAACCTCAATAGTGAGAGGGGGATCACAAATGCTGATCTCTTCCTGTGCAAAGTATATGTAGAAGGAGTCTTCATCTTTCAACGTGGCAGTCAGCCTAAGCAGATGGTCCTCTCCCAGTTCTTCTCTGTACCGTGAGTAAGGCACAAAGACTTGCAGGTTGTTTGCTGGAATACAGAGTGGTGGAATACAGATGACAGTGCAAATGATAAGTACAGTCTGATCTTAGGCTGCATGGTGCCTAGGAGTGTTTAATGCCCAATATTGTACTAAAAGCTGCAGCATTTAAAAGCTATTCGAGAACGTTTTGTAAAGTCACGGCTAAGTGCATTTTTCCTGAAGTGAAAGGACTAGACACACTTTTCTAGCCATGCACCCAGTAGAATCCTTACCTTCATTGCTTCTCAGGATAAAATGAAACTCTTCCTTCCAAAGTTGCGTAACGGGCACACCCTTATAATGTAGAGACTGGGCCCCAACTACCAGGTGAGTAGACTTTTCTCCACCACTGTGGTTAAATACTTCAATGGAAAGCGGGACATCTTGTCCCCGTAGCAGAGAATTCTTAGATTGGAGGTGGATGAAGAGGTTAACTGGCTCTTCAAGGGCGGTAGGAATGGAGCTAAAGTGTGTTTTGCGGCTGCTGGTTGCCTCAAGCTCCTTTATCTTTGTGTAGGCTTTATCAAGTACTACTTTTTCCTGAAGAGAACCTGTCACAAGGGAGCACATATTTTAGAATTCTTTCCTGTTTACTAGTGTGAAACAGCAAATGCAGAAGGATGGCATTGAATTATCCTGGCTGTAGATAACTGTTTCTGTCTTTTATAGAGAGAGAGCCTGTTGCGCTTCAGTTGGAGCAGATTGAGAATTTCAGTTGACAGGACAGTCACTGGATGTACCTGAAGGATTCTATTAGGAAACATTTGTCTTAGCTTTTAAAGCACCTTGGTGCTAACATCTGTCAGAATAAAAGAGGCAGTTGCCTTTTTAGCTGTATCTGTAGCTAGGCACAGACTATCTTGTGATGGACTGCAGTCAAGGAGACAACATGCCATGGGCTAAGATGAGATGGTAGGGTTGGGAAGGGAAACAACGCTCAGTGACAGATTCTGAAGGGGAAGCTACTTTTTGAGGGAGGGTTTTAGACAATATCTGGGAGCAGTCCTTTTCAGAAAGCTGGAGTCTGAAATATATCTATATATGTTACAGAGATAGCAGGAGGTGGATGTGCAGAGAGTGTACAGGTAACGGAAATCGGGAAAGGTTTTTCAGACAGGAAAGTACCTGTTGGAGAAAGGTCTTGCTCTCAAGAGAGCTCATTAATGCAATGAAGCAGAATGAAATTTGTGCATGACTTCTGTAGACAGCAAGAGTAAGTTGTCCTTGTGCCACTCAGGAAAGGGGAGTAGTGAGAAGTGGATGACCCTAATGCTCTGGTACAGCTCTGCTCTCTAGTCCTTCACTCTTGATTTGTAACACTGGTAGAGAAAATGTGCTCAACCACTTCCCTAACCCATACCTTCAGGATACTTGTAGTTGTGTGTGATATCCTCACAGCGTTCACTGCCCACACTCTTGGTGCTGATGTTGTTGCCAGTGTACTTTGTGCTACCAAGAGCTGGCTTGAGGGTGTCATCTGTTTTTTGTATCCAGACCTGGCACTTGGCATTGATGGCAGCAAAGAAGTAGCAGACATCATAATCAACTTCTGTGTCCCCTTCCTTGATGGCTTGAACAGGGGCTGGCCCACAGAAGGATGGACCTGAAGAGAAATTGTGGCCTGCTAAGTCTCAGATGCTTTACCAACTGGACCCATGCCTAGTTTAGGCCAATACCAGGAGTGGTTAAGTATCTAGTTTAGGAGATCATTAGGGAGCAGTGCTATGATAGAGCTCTTAGAGATACACAAACCAAACAGATGAATGATGACAGGTCCCTGTCCTTTTGCATCCTTGCACTGGAAGTTGGGAAGGGAGGAATATTGAACTGCTTTATTTGTTCACCACTTTACTCCCACCCCTGCACCTCACCAAAGCCCATCTTTGATATTTTACCTTTGCTTTTTTCCTGGCAGGTGGCATCCAGTGCCTGCCACCCACTGTACTCTGGTAGCAAGTCTGCTCGAGCCATCCAGCATTCATTCCAAACATGGAAGGTCCTGCAAGAGACAGCATCACATGCTTACACAAAGGGACTAAGCTCTGAGGTACAGTAAAGTTTTAGCCAAACCACAGCCAATTAATGCTTCTTTGAAAGAGCTCAGTGCATGTTGAGGAGTGCAGAGACCAAGGGTTTTGACCCAAGCGGAGTTTCTCTAGCTGGACTGGAGGCTATCATTCTTCCTTTGTGGGCCCTAGTAATAGGGAGCTTTCAGTTTGGGTTGTGGTGATTTCTCAAGAACAGGTCATGTAGACAGGATTTCAGTTGAGCTATCTCCTATCCACCTTCCTGCAGGTGTTTACCTCTTTCTCCCCCCCCGCCCCGTAATTTCATAGATAGAGATATTGCCTCAGATTTGTGCTTGGGCCCTGCCATGTTTTCTTACCAGACACGGGCACTCTTGTCTTGTGTTAGCAGTGTCCCATCTTCATCATAATACTCATCCACACTCAGGCTGCTGTTAGTGTTGTGAGCCCACGTAAAGCCTGTGACCACCCTGGTAGGAATTCCCAGGCACCTCAGAACTGTGCAGAAGAAAGAGCTGTGGATCAGTTGTACATCCTGCCCTAAGGGTGCCTTTAGTGATGCAGAGCATTTTCTGTTGTTAGGCCTATTAGGAATGGTACTACGCCTGCTGTTTGGACTTTGCAAGAGGCATTGCACCTTGCCTCAGGAAGTAAGCTCTCATAGGTGTGTTCTGTGAATGTTGTGTACTGATATTCTTCTCTCCTAGAGGTAGCAGTGCTGAATGTTGATGAACAAACTCTGAGGATCTGCCTCTCACCTAAAAATTAAAGGTTATTTTACTGGGTTCTGTGTCCATCCAGGAACTCAGGCATATGCTAGAGATTCTACAGACCAAATAAGGCTTCTCTCAGCACAGAAGTCTTTGAATCACCACTATACCTGAACACATGACTGCAGCAAACACCCAGCACTGCCCATAGCGGACAGGCTTGCACTGCGATGCAACCCACTGCCGGAGGATGGGACCACTTCCCAGCCACTTGGAAGGGGATGTCCCGTTAAAGTATTGCCTTGTCCCACATTCTGTCAGGATTCCTCTAAACTCATCACAGTTCAGCTGCAGGGAAGGAGGAGAGAAAGATGGATTAAGGAATTGCCTCTCTTTAATAGGTACACCTCATCCTGTTGAATGAAGCTACCCCCAAGGCAGATGAAACCAAAAGGATTTTTTGTGCAAAGCGTGAAGGTGTGGCTGCACAGTCCAGGTACAACAGCCTCCCCTGAGATTTATTCAGTAAGTGTACTGCCATTGCTAAGAAACTCTTGCA